ATACCAAAAGTGACCTTAAAACATTAAAATCCTTATCAATTTGAACATTTTTCAATAAAATAATTCATAACTTGCTTCCAATGAAAGTTAAACAAATCCTCTTAATAGTCATATCTTTTCTCCCTAGGAAGAAGAACAATGTAAATAGAGGAGACTGATTGCATTTTAACCCTGAGAGCAAAGTGGCTTAAATCACAATTACATACAGCTTTTGAAATTCAGAAATGTTTGCATACTGAACAATCAATTAAATGAATTGTAAAAGAAAATACATCTAAACTTTGTTTAATCCAAAGAAAAAAAAATCTAGCTGTTACATTTTGCAGGTTCACAGCCAACTAACGAAGTGAAAGATCTCTCACCAAAAAACAATACAAATTCTAATACGTAAAGTCTGACACTTAAAGGCATTCCATGTACAAAAACACGCACCTTTGCTTTCCATATAGCCTATACTAGCACAAACATCTCAAAAGTTTTTATTACATAAATTAGCATATGTAATCACTGTGACAGAAGATCTGACCAAGTTTTTCAGAACATATGGGAAGTGGAATCTTGATCTACTTCTCTGTTTTGATTAGTTATTGCAATAAAACAAGTCTTTCTAAGAAATCCCAAATTTTAGATACCATCCAACAGTTCTCATCACAACTGTAAATTCCATTATCATAAAGACTGGAAACCACACACATGTACACCTGCACATTTTTGTAATGCCTTTTCTAACCAAGCAACTTGTTTAATGCAAATGCCAACCATGTTGGCTCCACATGCTATATGCATTCTTCAATGTGATAGGTGATATAAGGTCTCCTGGATCTGTGGGAAGAAAAGGATGTGCATAGATAGCTAGGGACCATCAGTGGAAATGTGGCTAATTGAATAATTGCATCGACTATTCAATTAGTCAATAAGGGCGCCTCCACCTTTAAGTGTAGCAACAGCCCCAGGGTCCCCCTGCTGGCTCTGTGCTCCCCACAGCATTTCAAAGAGGCAGTGTCACATGGAACCCGGGGTCAGCTGGGGACTCTGAGCTGGCCCCAGGCTCCATGCAGCACTGCCACTTTGAAGCACCTCCTCCTTCTCCCCTTTCTTGCTGACTCTTTCTGATAGAGACAGCAAGAGGGTGGGGGAAGTGCCTAGTCAACTATGTGCCAGCTATCCGCTAAGTTCTTGCTTACTGGATAGTCGACTAGTCGTTCACATTCCTGCCTGTCTTCCTTCTGCACTGTTCTTCAATTCTCGTGTTTGAGCAAAATTGTGATAAAAAAATAAATAGCTGAAATAGGCAGATCTTCCTTTTACAATTTCACCTTTAAAGTAGTACTGAGTGTCAGTGAATGCAACTAGTAATATTAAATGAGCAGTAAGGTAATAATTTTTAAACAACTGCACTGACTTACTTTGTTTACGAGAATCCATCCTCAACATACAGAAATCTGAAAACTATCCACTTTCAAGAAGATTATCATTTTCTATAGTTTCAGAGTTATCTGCCAATGATAGTGTTTCAGTCACATCATGTATGTCACCAGTCACAAGTATATTACCTGTAGCAAACAGAATTTTTTTTCCATCATCCAGAAACAACCATAAATTAGTTTGTGATAAGAAGCAGCAGATTACAAAAAGAAGTAACTGATGAAAATTGTTTTTGCAACAAACTCTCCTTTCCAGATGACTGAGAACCCACACTTCATTAATATGGTTCAGTCATTAAGACCAGGATACAGTCCACCCAATAGAGCAGATGTCACAGGCAAATTGTTGGATGGATAAAAGTTTATAAAAGAGAAACTGAGCAGTGTTCTCTAGAGGGTAAAATTGTTAGCCTGAGTCTTAAAGGGTGGAGCAATGTCTACAATGATCCTGTTTTATGTGCTTGTGTGACAACATAAGGGAATGTTTTCCTTACAGAAACAATTGATACACCAGGAAATGCACACACAGCAGAATACTTACAAATACTAGCAGTAAAAACTATAAAAAAGTGGGGAAAAAATCAAATGTCTTATATACAGCTTGGTCACAGACAATGGTGCAAATGTATGCAAGATGAGAAGAAATTCAGAAGAGAGTCGCAAGCTAACAACATAAGCTTGCAAGTGCTTATTTGAAGCACCTCCTGGCCAAAGACTTCCTTATTCCAGAAATAAAGGCTAATGTTGAAACTGGAAAATACTTTCTTAAGAACCACTTTGCACCAGCTCCTCAGAAAAAAAAAAACAGGAAGAACCAAGCTATCTGTCCCACAAGCTGTGCAATGAAACTCCATAGTGGACTATTTAAAGCACTGTATCAAGAACTGGCCCAATCTGATGACGGTTTGTGAACAAAATCGTGAAAAAAAATAGATGGCAGTCACAGCCAAAGTTCTCAACGTTGAGCTGAAGAGAAATGTTAAACACATGCTGAGTACCCTGAAGCCTATTTCTGTAACCTTGAATGAAATGCAAGGAGATAGCTGTTTTATTGTTGACACTATTGAGATCAAGAAGGAACTGAGTGAGAGCTTAAAAAGAGAAATATGCAATGATAAAGTTAAATTACAAGCATTAAAAAATGAATGGGACAAGCACTATTTCCAGCTCATTTGCTTACAAATGCTCTCATACTCAGTACCAGGGTCAACCCTTAACTGCTGAAAAAGAGGAGTAGGCTATGACATGGGCATCCAGCAATCATCCCTCCATAATGCCAACTATAATAAATTTAGAAGCTAAGACTGAATCATTCAAGAAATACATTTTTGCTGATGATAATTTAAAGAAAGTCACACCAGTGAACGAGTAGAAATTACTTAAGCATTTAGATTCAGAGACTGTTGAAGTGATAATCTCACTTTTAACAGCAGTCACTTCTTCTGCTGATGTAGAAAGAATATCTTCTTCCTTCAGACTAATTTATTCCAAATTCAGAAACCATTTGGGACCTGAAAAAACAGAAAAGCTTGTTTTTCTTTCCCAGATTATGAACAGGAAAATGAAGATGAAGGCAACTGAGTCAGCTGCAGAAGCCAATATTTTAAGTTTCTCGTGTTGACCTGGCTGACACAGTCGATTTAATAATTTTTTAATAATTTTTTAGATATTTCATTTAAACTATTGTAATTAAAAACAATTTTTACAAAAATAAACCAGATTTACATACCTGAATTTTTATATTCAAAAATTTATATGCTTGTTTTCTTACAATATTATATGATCTGTTGTTGAAGAAAAAAATCCAGAATATATAATGTTGTTGTTTTAGTTAAATAAAACAATGTCAATGTCTGTGAGATGATGTTCTCCTCCTAATATATCATGGCAAGAAAATCCTCTGCATACTAATGATTAACCTGTTGAATTGGAGATAGTTCACCTTCCAATTACTTCATAAATATGTGCTTCAATTATCGCTGGTAAATGAAATAACCAAACAACCATTCATTTCCTGATATAGCTGTAAAACTAATCTGAAAAGTTTTCAAAATAAATCACTGTTGAACAATGTATAGTATACAACTTCTTAAAAATGAAACTTACATCTATCTCTGAGTTGTGAAGGTTATAACAACCAACAAAAGTGCACTTTTATGTAGAAAACCATGATTAAGTCAAGTCTTCCTGACTAGTGATTTAAATCATGATTTAAATTAGGGATGCTAAACATTGGTTAATTGAATAGTTGATTAACCTCATGAATTCTTATCAGCAGGGCTTGACAAGCGGCGGCGAGCCCCGCTCACCATACGCACGGTTTGGCGTGCTGCACATGCGCTGATCGCATTGCGGCACCATGCCGGCTTAAAATCTACTGGCCCCGAGAGAGTAGATTGACTAATTTGTCGAGCCCTGCTTATCAGTTACTCCACTATTCTTTAGTCCCTGGAGGTGGGGCCAGAAGTCAGTGCGCTCTGGCCCCACTCCCAAGGAGCCCCCTGCCACTCTGCACTGCTACCTCTGTATCAGAGGCAACAGCGTGAGGTGCCAGGCAAGAGCTGTTCTGTAAGGGGAGCAAGTCTAAAAACCAGCTCCCCTAAGCCTGCAGCCTGTATCAGAGGCAGTAGTGCGGTGTGGCAGCAGCCCATTTGGGGGGAGAGGGGCGGAAGTCGAAGCTACCAGACCTGGCACAAACTGGAACTGAGCTAGACTGCATGCCCCTAACGCTAGGGTTGCCAGGTGTCCAGTTTTTGCCCTGACATTTTTGGCCCCCGCTATTTTTGGCCCGTCTGGTTTAAAAATAAAAAATAAAAAAAAAATAACAGACATGTGAAATGCGTAGCGACCTTTTTTTTTTTTTTTTAGTTCTCCCATTTTTGGGGGGTTATTTTGCTCAACCAAACTTTTTCCTGTCATGTTTGGGATTTTTGGTGAAAGCATCTGGCAAGCCTATCTAACACACTTGGGATTTTTGGTGAAAGCATCTGGCAAGCCTACCTAACACACTAAATGCAGAGCTGCAGCAGGGGTAGGTCCCGGACTTGATCCAGTTGCTAGACAACATGCTAAAAAATTTACTGGCCAGGGGAGGAAGGAATGCGTGTAATCTATAGCATTTACCTATAAGCTTTTGCTTATCAGTTAATCAGTTAACCAACTATGCTATTGCATCCCTAATTTAAATAAATTTGATTTAAATCAAATCCACCCTGACACTTGCATAACAATAGCCATTACTTTGGCTTTTCCAATTTCAAAATTACTTCTCACTGGCCAGTAGCAATCCAGGTTTGCAAGCTTCCAGAATGTGATTGTCACTCACTGCTCCCCTGTCAATGCAGCTCTAATTCTGTGGAATGCTGGAGCGAGTTCCGCATATAAATCCAGGAACATTGCCTTTTGCATCTGGAAGTTCTGCAGCCACTGCTCATCATCCTAGATTTGCATTCCCACCAGTCAGTATTTATTTCTCAGGTACTGGAGCAGCTCTCTACTATCTGCAGCTGCTCTGTGAATGCCACTAAAAGTCTTGAATTTTTTCTCATTATACACCTTACAAAATTGTCACTGAAGAAATCATCGTGTTCCCTGATGCTGTAGTCTGCATGCAAATACAGAAAAATTCTCTGACCTTCATTTACAACATTCATAAGAACAACACAAAGCTCTGCAAGGTCCATGATTCCAAACAGATTTATGATTTTTTTTTAAAGACACCAAAATTACGGGATAAGGGTGGCATTATGGATTGGTGGTCTGGTCATCTGAAGAAGTGGGCTGTACCCACGAAAGCTCATGATATCATCTACATGTTTTGTTAGTCTATAAAGTGCTACCAGACCATTTGTTGTTTTTTAAGTTTATCCTATACAGACTAACTCGGCTACCCCCTGAAGCTGGTAGTCTGGTGTACACCAAAAACTAAATAACCATATCACTGAAGATTGTGAAAAATGCTGTGCCTTATGTGACAGGTTGACTTAATGCACAACGTAGAAACAGCCACTAGGACTGAACTATCCTCCCCCTCTTGGAGATACGTTACCTATATCAGTGGAAGAACCTCTTCCATCAATGTAGGAAGCATCCTCACTAGAGCAGAATAGCTGCAGAACCTTAGCTGTAACATCGTAACTGCTTAACACAGCTGAAGAAAGTTACATGCTTTGAACTTGATCCCCAGCTCACAGAAATTCCTAGATGTATCATTTCTATCTCATGGCACATTGCAAATGTAACCCACACACTTAGTGGGTGTGGTCACTGACCCATGTAGTGGCAGTTACACTACTATAGTGAGAGATAAGAATGTGTGAGCTCTACCACCTAAGCTGAGAGCCAAATGGCTTTATAGCTCAAGCTGCAGAGTAGGGGTGGAGCTATAATTTTTTGCCAGGGACCACTTTGAAAATTTTTGAAGTGGCCCCAGGTCGCACAGGAAGGGGCAGAGCCAAGATATTTCCAGGTTCCCCACCTCCAGACAACGTTTGGTCTGGGGGTGAGAGAGTGTCTTTGCCCCCATCCCAAGTTCCCCCAAGCTGCCCATGCCCCTGGTGTGGGAGGAAATTTCTCTTACTTCCCTGCCCCTAGGCCAATTAAGGCCTAGGACTGGGGGAGCGTGCGAAGCCTCCTCCGCTCTCCGCCACCTCCCCCTCTGCGAGTAACGTGTGGCACTTCAAAGCACCACGTGCTCCTAGCAGGGCGGAAGGAGGCTTCGCGCATTTCCCTGCCCTGAGCAAATTAAGGCCTGGGGGCAAGGGAGCGTGCAAAGCCTCCTCACGCCCTTCCAGGAGTACGGAACGCTTTCAAGCGCTGCATACTGCTTGCAGGGCGGGGTCAGAGTGGTGAAAGCTTCATGCGCTCCCCCACCCCCAGGTCCCAATTGGCCTGGGGGCGGGGGAGCAGCAGGGCCTCCGCGGGCCGGATCCAATCACTTGGTGAGCCAGATCCGGGCCGAGGAGGTCCTTTTGCCCACCCCTGTTGTAGAGGCTCCTACACTAAGCTCCAGAGGTCTCAGGTTCAAAGACGCCTGCAGGTGGTTACACAAAGGCATCCTGCCTTGAGATGGTTCACAGGGAGACCTACCCTGTGGCACACTGCACTTTACATCCACACGAACATTCCTGGTGAGCATGTGCAGTGATGACAGAACCAAGTACACACACAACTGAGCAAGATACAAACATTAATAGCAGTTTGCAGACCTAACTTCCTTCCTAAGTCTATAATGAAGACATAGCCTCAGTAAGAAAATACCTGATCTGAAAACAAATAAGCTCTTTCATTCTTTAAGGGTGAACTTTTTTACCTGTATGTTCCTATCACTGGAATCTCACTTCTGCCCAAATACTCAGACCATCAGATCTAAAAGAAATTCATGTTGGATTTGTCTCTTCCTACACACTGCATTAATCTGAATTTGGCTACGACAAATCAGGAAAGAGATCTTGGAGTTATAGTGGACAGTTCTCTGAAAACTTCCACGCAGTGTGCAGCGGCGGTCAAAAAGGCAAATAGGATGCTAGGAATTATTAAGAAAGGGATAGAAAATAAGACCCAGAATATCTTACTGCCCCTGTATAAAACTATGGTACGCCCACATCTTGAATACTGTGTACAGATGTGGTCTCCTCACCTCAAAAAAGATATTTTGGCCTTGGAAAGGGTTCAGAAAAGGGCAACTAAAATGATTAGGGGTTTGGAACGGGTCCCATATGAAGAGAGGCTAAAGAGACTGGGACTTTTCAGTTTAGAAAAGAGGAGACTGAGGGGGGATATGATAGAGGTATATAAAATCATAAGTGGTGTGGAGAGGGCGGATAAAGAAAAGTTATTTATTAGTTCCCATAATAGAAGAACTAGAGGACACCAAATGAAATTAATGGGTAGCAGGTTTAAAACTAATAAAAGAAAGTTCTTCTTCACACAGCATGTAGTCAACCTGTGGAACTCCTTGCCAGAGGAGGCTGTGAAGGCTAGGACTATAATAGAGTTTAAAGAGAAGCTAGATAATTTCATGGAGGTTAGGTCCATAAAAGGCTATTAGCCAGGGGATAAAATGGTGTCCTTGGCCTCTGTTTGTCAGAGGCTGGAGAGGGATGGCAGGAGACAAATCGCTTGATCATTGTCTTCGGTCCACCCTCTCTGGGGCACCTGGTGCTGGCCACTGTCGGCAGACAGGATACTGGGCTAGATGGACCTTTGGTCTGACCCAGTACGGCCGTTCTTATGTTCTTATCTGATCCACCTTAAATAGCCATATAGCCATCTAACCATCTGCTACTGATGTTCATTTCCATTAGCATTCCCTCTATTGACAACAGACTATTCATTTCACAAGTAAGAAATATAGTAAATTATCCAAAAGTAAGTGTTGCTATTATGTACGCTTCCTTTCTAAAAGGCTGTAGATTCACTGATTGAACAAACTTTGCCATATATATATATATATACACACACACACACACACACACACACCATGTGCATCATAATTTACAGTCAGCCCTAT